GTAGTTCAGAGAACCGGTAGTAAAAATTCTGACTGGCCCCGCCCCCATCTATTCTCTGCCTCCCAAGTCCCAGTTGATCGGGAAGAAATGGGGATTTTGCAATAACCTTCCCCTGCCATGCCCACAAAGCCATGCCCACAAAGCCATGCCCACAAAGCCATGCCATGCCCACCAAGCCACACCCACAGAACGGTAGTAAAAAAATTTGAAACCCACCACTGGTGCAGCACCTCTCTACAACACTTACAAAAAGATGTACCCGATTTGAAATGTTTCATTTCTATGTTCTCCAAGGACTTTTCAGAGTTTGAGCCACTGCACAGGTCTAAAATCTGCTGATAATCACACTAAAGTTAATTTTATATCCTTAATAGCACTAATGCACATTGCTGTTCAGTACTTTTATCCTAATTCATCTCCCAGACATTTGCACTTTTCACTTTTGAAATTAACTGTGAAAGTATAATCTTAAAAAGACCATTCATGTACTGTATGTAGAATTTGAAATTGAGATAACAATTTTTGAAATTAGGTCAACAACATTTATATTTCATACTACATTCCCAGATTCATGATGTACAAAAATATTCAAATGATAGTGAATAGCAGGAAAGAGGAGTGGGATTGTTCTCCCTACTCTACATTTTTGTAATGTTATTACAATCCAAATTAGACTAGTGTGTTTATTACTTATTTTGTGGTGAAAAAAAATCACACCAACATCAGTGAAAATAGGACACACTTATGTCTTAATATGGATGACAAGTAAAGAAAGTTAAAGTATATCTATTATTTACATCATGACTCCAGGCCTAAAAGAGCACTCCATAGCTTCAATTGACTGTTGTGGTTTATATTATATTATATTAATTACACCACACTATACTAGTATAGTGATTACTATTCATTGGATTAATAATAATACATTAAATTTGACCATTTGGATTAAATCCTAATTTTTTTCTTTTGCTAGTTCCATGACACCAAATCATAATCATTCATTATGTCCAAATATTTTGTTTCTTTATCATTACCTACTGTATATAAAAATAATTTCTATCCAGTATTTGGAAGATGTTGTAATTATCTGTTTTTAAAATATTTTCTGTTTTGACTAGCCAATGTTTTTAGTCTCAGAATAATCAAAAGTTTAGTCTCAGAATTCAGATGGGCACAAGGAAAAGTATGCATCCCCACTATTAAATGACATTCCATTTAGTTTTGTGAAAATAGGCCCAAAGACACCCAGCCAGGTTTCATGCCTAAAGTCGTACTAGAACTCCCAGTTTCCTAGTTTCTAGCCTTAATCAACAGACTTTTTTTTTTCAGTGAAGGACAGCATTTCATTATGATTTGGAATCTCTCTCTTTTTTTTAATCATGTGGTAAATTACTCACACGACCTAATCGTGCAATTTGTTGTCACATATCTGGTTATTTGTTTAATATGTTGTCAATTGTGGTATAAAGGTGTGCATTATGGTTGAAAAATAAAACTAAATTGCCAAATTACAGTGCCTCATCTACTGAATCCTTTTCCTACCTTAGAGTCCTTATATGTCAAAATAGGGAAGATTCAGATGGGTGCTGATTGTACAAAGTCAATTCTAGTTTAGACATCAGCCGTTTCTTCCAAATGAACCAGATTTGGATCTGAACTCAGGATTCATCTATGTGAATTGTGTAATAGTATAGCAGCTTTTTTTTTTTAACCCAGATAAACTTAATGAACAAAATTCATTATAGCATCAGCAACAAGCAAAAGTACTTTAAAAATAAAAATCTATATGATGTAGCCTTCTCAACTGACATAAGAATACAGCTGTAAAATCATGTAAGACAAATATAACTGTGACTACTGACTGGCTCAATGAGGACCCATTGTTGGGTGCGATGTGCTGCCATTTGTAAACAGCTCAGAGAGTGCTGTAAAACGCTATGGAGTGGTATTTAAGTCTAAGTCCTATTCCTATTGCTATTACTACTTAATCTCTGTAATATTAGTCATATTTTATCATTTGTATTTACCCTATAATATTTTAATCTGTATGCTGTTTTTAACAGCAGTATAGATGTGTTAATTTCCAGGCCAGCGTTTCCCAACCTTGATTTAAGATGTGTTGCAGATTTGGACTTCTATTCCCAGAATTCCCTAGCTGGCTAAGAAATTCTGGGAGTTAAAGTCCAGACTTCTTAAAGTTACCAAGGTTGAGAAATACTGCTTCAGGTTATACATCATTTCAGATTCAAATCCAGTTGTTTAAGACACCTAAGCTTTTCCCAGGTTCTATAGTTGCCCATACAATCTGAGTAAAAATACCACCACTTTAGTGAGGTTCTCTCAGGACTGCCACTTCTCCAGCCATACTTCACTTGCTGTAGGTCTGCCATAAGCAACAGTGGGAGGGAACTGTAAGGTGGGATAAGGAGAGGTAGCAGGAAAGGAATAGAAATTACTTGTGCTATCCTGTGAGAGCTGCTGGCCATTCCAAGGTCACCTCATGGAATGCAGCACCATCCAGCCTGCCAAGGTAGGGGCTGGTACCAAAACAATTTGTTTAAATGTAATTGGACAGCTCGAGATAAACAAAGAGGAAGGAGAGAAGAAGGGAAAAGTTAAACACATGCTTTGTGGGCAAAAATCTCAGATCCGGCTTTGCCTCATTGTAACCACTTTGGCTTTAGTAAAGTGTACTTTTGTTAATAATTGATCCGAGAGTCTTCCTTCTCTAACTGACCTAGTTGGGACAGTTGACAAGTTCAAACAAATACTATGTTCACTTCTTATTGATTTTGAAATTAAATGCAAATTAATGTACTGTCCCAGTTTCTAGCATAGCTTGGTATCCTGCTGCGACAACTCGTGGGGTTGGCACTGTTTTAACGTGGTTCTCCTCCTATCTCTTGGGCCGTACGCAAGCGGTGTTGGCAGGGGGACAGAGATCGGCTATGAGGCCCCTCACCTGTGGGGTGCCTCAGCGGTCGGTTCTCTCGCCTCTCCTGTTCAATATCTATATGAAGCCGCTTGGGGAGATCATCCGTGGTTTCGGGGTGTGGTATCATCAATATGCCGATGATACCCAGCTTTTTATATCCACCCCGAACCAGCCTAGTGATGCCCTCGACATGATGTCCCGCTGCCTGGACGTGGTACGGTCCTGGATGGGGAGGAACAGGCTCCGACTCAACCCTGCCAAGACCGAGGGGCTGTGGGTACTGGCATCTGGGTCCAATCTACATATTCCATCATTGACCATCGGGGGTGAGGTGTTACCCCCTGTGGATAGGGCCTGCAACCTGGGCGTCCGTCTGGATTCAGGTTGTCTCTGGAAGATCATTTAGCGACTGTGACCAGGGGGGCATTTGCCCAGGTTTGCCTTGTGCGTCAACTTCGCCCTTATTTGGACCAAGATGCTCTACGCACCGTTACTCATGTGCTAGTCACCTCCCGTCTCAACTACTGCAACGCTGTCTATCTAGGGCTGCCCATGAAAACTACTCGAAGGCTTCAACTGATGCAGAATGCAGCCGCGCGGGTTGTGATGGGAGTGTTCCGACACTCCCATGTTACACCCCTCCTGCGTGGCCTGCATTGGCTACCAGTTGCCCTTCGGGTGAGGTTCAAGGTGCTGGTTATCACCTATAAAGCCCTTCATGGCTTAGGGCCGGGTTATTTGTCGAACCCCCTGCAGCCAGCAATAATCTCCAATTGCCCGGTGCATTCCCACAGACAGGGCCTCCTCAGGTTGCCGTCGGCCAGACAATGTCAGCTGGTGACCCCCAGGGGGAGAGCTTTCTCTGAGGGTGCATCCACCCTTTGGAACCAACTTCCTTTGGAGCTCCGGATGGCCCCTGACCTTCACTCGTTTCACCGTGATTTGAAGACCTGGTTATTTCGTAGCCTGGACTGATGAGGGGGCTTTTCTTAATAGTTTTTAAACTGATTTTAAATTGTTTAATTCAGACTTTTTAATTTAATAGTGTATTATGTTATTGTGTGTTTTACTGTTGTGAGCCGTCCTGAGTCCATTGGAGATAGGGTGGCATATAAATCACATTAAACTTAAACTTAAACTTAAACTTAAACAGTCCTATTTCTCCCATTTTCCAGCATGCATACAAACAGAACTAAACATCCCAACTTAGAACAATATGATAACTTGTGGTCTAAAGCAGGGGTGAAATTCAGCCGGTTCTATCCGGCTCGGGCAAACCGGTAGCAGTGGCTGCGGGAGGCTCTGCCCACCCACACGGACATCATGATGTCGCTTTTTTGCGATGATTTTAAGCCTCTGCACATGCACAGAAGGCTTTGTGCATGCGCAGATGACAGCGCAGGTGAGCAGAGTGAGGGCACACATGGTGCACACACATTTGCAAACCGGTAGGGAAGGTAAGTGAATTTCACCCCTGGTGTAAAGCAATATTTAATTTTCTCTGCAGATCAATGAATAGTGATATATGGTACTGTATACTCAGCCTCATTTATAACTTATTTTATAAAGATGTAAAAAACCTGTCCTTCATTTGTTTTGTGTTTGACGATCCCATGTTTATTTAGAAAACTGCTTAATTATGTTGTTTAGCTTGGAAATCTAATCGGTGTTTTTAGAATCTTTTAGTGTACCTTTTTTTTGATGAAATCACTTTATTAAAGAATTTGAAAAAATAGTACTATAAATAAATGAACTATAAATAAATAGTTACTATTAAAATACTAGCTAAAATAGTTTGTTAGTACTTTTAGCTTTCTAAAATATTAGCTTTTAGATAAAGCAAAGGAAAATATAGATATAATAAAATGCATTTCATACACATTTTTGTACTTGTGGAGAAGGAAAAGCATTAAGTAATTTACTTTTACTCTAGTAAAAGTATCTTTTCTTAATTAATAGTTCTTACTATTATTGCCTCTTATTTTTATTTCAAAATATATATTTAAATGTTTGATTTCCTATTCCTTGTTTCTGTAGTAATTCATTTTATTGTGTTTTGTTTTAGAATCACAACTACTGCAGCTTGCATGATGGACTTGAGAAGATACCCATTAGATGAACAAAATTGTACATTGGAAATAGAAAGCTGTACGTATTTCTATTAATTTCAGGTATATGAAATATGTTGTGCACAATAGTTGTTTTACTAATATTTTTTTTAATTTCTCATGCCCATTATATGCATAGAGTTCTTAATATTCAAAATCATTCATGCTCACTTGAGGTATTTCATGTCATCAACTTCTGTTTTTTTAATCTTCTGCAGTGGTCTGCAGTTGCAACTTGCAGTTGTCAGCAGCACTGTCTTATAATTATTCTTTAAAAGAAATTTAAAGTATTCATATGAAATGACATTGACCCACTGGTGCTCAACAAAAAAATAAAAAGCAAAAGAGGTGATTGAAGCACTGTCTGTATCTATTGTGAAATATGTAACCTTAAGAGGTTGCAGAAAAAAATGCTTTTAGAAGCCTCTGACGATCAGGCAACTCAGCTGGGATCGCCAGAGGCTTTTAAAGTCATTTTTTTTCCCTACAACCTCTTTGGCCGAAGAGGTTGCAGAAAAAAATGCTTTTAAAAGCCTCTGACAATCCCAGCTGAGCCACGCAATCATCAGAGGCTTTTTAAAAAAACTTTTAAAAGCATTTTTTCGGCCGAAGAGGTTGAAGAAAAAATGCTTTTAAATGGTTAAAAAAAACAGCCTCTGATGAGGTGGGCAGGGTAAGCGAGCAGTGACAGGGCCAGGAACCAGTTCAGGGACGTGGCCAGCCAATGTTATTACCGGTTCTCCGAACTACTAAAATTTTTTTACTACCGGTTCTACCGGTGTGAACCAGGAGCAACCCACCACTGCTCTGAGTGTGAGTTATCAGAATCCTACCTCTTCTGAAACTTGTTTGAAAGTAATGTGTCAAATAATGCCACTGTTCATTATCATCAAGCCATTTCCATCATTTTTGCATAGAAGAAAATCTTTAGAAGTTTTTACCAAATATAATAGAAAGGTATGATGACTATTGAAGATATTTTGATGGAAATTTTTGAAAGTAGCCAGAACTGATAGCAAAGAAACAAAGATATGAGGGGTCCTTGGTACTCTCTGAGCTTGCCTGTCTGTATGGGTGGAGGTGGTCTTCGAGATTCTTTGGTTGGGCTGTTTACTAATGGCTCTTTAGCAGTTTCTTGATTGGGGTATTGTTTACTTGATTGTTGGTCTGATCAATCAATACCCCAATCAAGAAACTGTCAAAGAGCCATCAGTAAACAGCCCAACCAAAGAACCTCTAAGACCATCCCCACCCCCAAAGACAGACAAGTCATTAGAATATAAACTGACAGCAAACAGTTTTCCTTTACTAGCGCTGATAACGTTACCTAGTTAGGGTAATAAAACATCTGCAAGAAAACAGGCAAGCTCAGAGAGCACTAAGGACCCCTCATTTCAACCCTGAGATACAAATATTCTCCTTTATTGAAACAAAGATATGGACAGTATCTTTGATAAGGATTTTTTGGTGAAATTGAATTTTAATGGATCTCTGCACTTATCCATCTGTTTAAGCCTTTTCCTAAGTATTGTACATCTGTTGCCTCATGTGAAAGAATGTTTTAAATTTAAAAATAAAATTAATGGAAAGTGTTCTTTTATAAGTGAAGACATATTGACAAACCTGTATATCCTGGCTATTGAATGTGAATATACAAAGATCAATTTTGATGAAGTCACTAACAAATTTGCAGTTAAAAGCTTGAAAAGAAAAACCAAATTATTATTCCTTGCTGCTAGTGAATTACTAATTATGTAGGTATTAGATATTTACTATTTATCTCCAAAATGCATTGATGTAATTAAAAAGTATTGATCCATTCTTTTCTGGTTATTTTTTTATTATCCATTTCACAACATGGTTTTTACTGTAAATGATTTGCCATATAGAGGGCATGTATGTAAAAAAATGATCCATCCTAGATGTCACGTACACTGAATTTTCCTTGGTTAAATTCAAGTAAAGGTAAATAGGCACGGGTGAAATGCTCCCGGTTCAGATCGGATCGCCTGATCCGGTAGCGATGGAGGTGTGTGGTTCGGAGAATCGGTGGCAAAAATCCCTGCCCCCTCCCATGCCCAGCTGAGCCATGCGATCATCAGAGGCTTTTTTTCTTTTAAATGCCTCTGACGATCCAAGCTCAGTTGCCTGATCATTAGAGGGTTTTTTAAAAAGCCTCTGATGATCAGGCAACTCAGCTGGGATGAAAGCATTTTTTAATAACCTCTTCACCGAAGAGGTTGTAGAAAAAATGGTTTTAAAAGTTAAAAAAAAATGGCCATGCCCACCCAGTCACATTTCCCCCACCACCACCACCAAGCCATGCCCACAGAACTGGTAGTAACAAATTTTAGATTTCACCACTGTAAATAGGTTATAGAATTTTGGAAACTTGATAACTGTATTATAGGTCTTATTGTTAATGAGTACGGCAAGACAGCAATTCTGGGACTAGTTTGATCCTTTTTCAGATTCCTTAATAGCTAGGCTAATGATTCATTTAAAAGACAGAATTGGAAGACAATTTGGTTTTCATCTCCATGTTTTGGAAACATAGTTTTTCTTTTCCAGATTTAAAGAATTCTATTACAATTCTTTTGCGAACTCCAGCCTTCTATGGCTAAAATGGCTTGACCATTTTACTAAAGTGTATAAAAATATAGCAAAGACTCTATTGAAATACCATGCCAAAATGGTCTTCAAGTCTATCTATATCTAGAACTGATCTGTAAGTCCCCAAGTATTTTGTTGCAAAAATAGTCACCTGCATTACCTGACAAATGATCTGGATCAAACATCCTTTATTGCCATCCATACCTTCAATGCTTGATTGTCAGTATCACTATCCATTTTTACAGGTATTACTTCATAATAGATTTCTTACAGATTAATCATCCCAGCCAATCATGACCTGTACAAGTCGGCAACATATAATTATGATAATATTGTGTATTCAACTGTTTGAATCTATAAAACAGCATCACAAGCTCATTTGGATAATTGATGTTATGATATATGGTGTAATGATCGACATTTTTTTTTAAAATTTGATTTATATGCCGCATTTTGTGAAATATTATATTTTATATTTTACATTTTGTGAAATTATCTAGCTTTATCTCATTTTAACTATCAATACCTTTACATTTATTGCATTATTATACACATCTTAAATTATTTTTTCAAAATTAATTTTCACATTTTTATGATAATCATATAGCACATATTTATTAGTTTCATGTAAAACAACATGGGTTGTTGTCATGAAGCAAGGAGAAAAATTAGTCTGTTCCTCAAACTGTATCTAAGCCTATAACATGGTTTAGAATTGATATACACACATATTAATAATAATATTGGAGAATATATGCTTGTCTCATTGAAAGTTTAGGAGTGGGAAATTTTATTTTCTTCTTTAGGGCAGAACGAAAGTTTTAAGAAAAGTGAGGCTATAGTATATTTTGAGAACAAGATATTAAAATGTTTCTGCTTTGTTTCCAGATGGATACACAAAGGATGACATAGAATTTTATTGGAGAGGTGGAGATAATGCAGTTACTGGAGTAGAAAGAATTGAGCTTCCGCAATTTTCTATTGTGGAATATAAACTTGTGTCCAAAAATGTTGTCTTTGCCACAGGCATGTATTTCCTAATTGTTGAATTTCTATTATTCCTAGCTCTCTAATGCATGCCTATATTTTGTGTTTATATAAGAGGTAATTAAAATGGGGGTAGTGCTAGTTCATTCTTTCTTTACAGATATTTTGTGTTACTGGGTCTGTAATGTTAAAACTGATTAGTTTGATGATTTTTAAGTAAAGAAAACAATATTTATATCTGAAACTACGTATAGGTCAGGGATGGGTTCTACTTACCTTTACTACCAGTTTGTATCGTGCGCGCACCTGCGTTCTCCTGTGCCTGCGCAGATCACCTATGATAATGCCGTGTCAGTGGGCAGAGCCTCCCACCAGTTTTACTACTGGTTCTTGTGAACCGGTCCAAACTTGGGGCAACCCACCACTGGTATAGGTAATCCTCAACTTACAACAGTCCATTTAGTGATAGTTCAAAGTTACAATGGCACTGAAAAAAGTGACTTATGTCTGTTTTCACAGTTATGACCATTGCAGGATCCCCATAATCATATGATCAAAATTCAGATGCTTGAGCACTGGCTCATATTTATGACTGTTGCTATGTCCCAGGATCATGTGGTCACCGTTTGAGATCTTCTGAGAAGCAAAATCAGTGGGGAAGCCAGATTCACTTAACAACCAGGCTACTAACCTATCAACTGCAGTGATTAACAACTGAGACAAGAAAGGTTGTGAAATGGGGCAAAACTCACTTAACAAGTGTCTGAATAACAGAAATTTTGGGCTAAATTGTGGTCAAAAGTTGAGAACTACCTATAGTATGTGACTTAGAAAATTAGTTGGGTCAAGAGACTTCCAGTCTAATAAAATATTTTTAATGGGAAATTCTAAAAAATAAACACGTGAATAGAAATGTGTGCTCTAATTAAGCTGCAGGTAATAGATTATACAAAGCAGTCAGTTGGCAGTATGAGTGATAAAATTGAGGATTATAATTTATTTTGAACAGAGAGCAGAAACTCAGGAACAGCTTTCCAGAACAAGTTATTTGTTCTGAGTCAAGCTATCATTCAAATTATTCATAATTAAAACAGTTTGAGAAATGCCACTATAGTATTTATTATGCTAATTGAAAACATTAATATTTTATTATACTGTATTATACTAAGATCAATAATAATTATGCTAATAATAGCCAATGCCACATAATTAATCAATTATTATTTATTGAGTTAAAATATTTAATACTAATAGTTGTGTTTTGACAATAGCCTATATTATATTTTTTTCTGCACAAAATTTCATATTATGGGCTACCCTATGCTTGTTTTGGGGAGTGATAGGTTCTGCTAATAATTTTGTAACATATTTAGTATATTTTATTTATTATATTTTAAATATCAGGCAAGTAATTTAAATGTATGATTTTTAGATAAAAGGTAAAAGTATTCCAACTTATTTTTATTATTAAGAAAATATATGAGAACTTAATGCCTATCTATTTTTTATTAGGTGCCTATCCAAGACTATCATTGAGTTTTAAGTTGAAGAGGAATATTGGATACTTTATTCTTCAGACCTACATGCCCACAATATTGATTACCATTTTATCATGGGTATCCTTCTGGATAAATTATGATGCATCAGCAGCAAGAGTGGCTCTTGGTATGAAATGGTGATGAGTAGGACTTTACTTCATTTGCAATATCAAATATCAATTACTAGAATTTGCAACATATTAATAGGTCAATATCATTTATATAAATATTGTATTAGTTTGGATTGATTCAGTAATGGTTCATCTTAAATATATAACAATTTTTATAAAATCTGTTAATTGAACTCTCCAAATGGAGCTCAGTTTTCTTATTACTCTAGGAATGATATGGAAGAATTGACTTTAGAGAAAGGTTGCGATACCCTAAATTTAAATTTAAGGACAATTTAAATTTGAAGGAAGAATGCAAAGATAGTGGAATAAAAAGGGTTATACCTTCTTTTTCTTCCAATTCTAATCAGTCTTTCCCTTAGAGGCCTCTGATTTACTTGATGACACAATTGATGAAAGTCTGGTTAAGGCCAAGTCCTTAAAGCCAGCATTGTGTGAGAGAGCTGAAAATGCTGAAAATGCTGGTCAAAGTGCCTTCAGGCATGTAGCTTCTGAATTTAATGTACTATAGCTTCAATTTACCCTGGAGGATACTCAGAATACACCAAGGGAGATTAAAGTTGGACAGCTTTTACACGTACAGAAGTATTGTTCAGAACATCTGCCAGAGACATTAGTTTAAAGACTTTTAGTATTCACTTTCTCAATTTGTGAGATTGTCAGCAGTATTCGAAGCTTCTCACTATTTTTAATAGTAATAATGCATGTACCTAGATCACACTTGAATACTACTTTTGGGTTACATATTTCAGGAAAAAATGTTACAGCTATGAACTCTTTCTGTGAGAGTTGTACCAGAACTCAAGACATTTCTGTTATTTTTCCAGAAAATCAAGATTTCTCTAGGCTTCATTAATTTCAGATATTTCCCCCCCCTCTCTCTCTATCTCTATCTCTATCTATCTCTCAATCTCTCAATCTCTCTCTCAATCTCTCTCTCTTTCTCCTCTCTCTCTCTCTCCTCCCTTTCTCTCTCTTCAACATAGTAAAAAAGGAATGAGTAGAGTACTGAACAGAACAGAATAGAATTCTTTATTGGCAAAGTGTGATTGGACACACAAGAAATTTGTCTCCAGTGCATAAGCTGTCAGTGTACATACAAGCAATATGTGATAAATCATGATCACAGTGATCATAAAAATACATTCATCATAAATCATAAGATACACTTAGTCATAGGATACTAAATAAGCAATGAACATAAATCATACTAGGATACTAAGTAAACAATATAATCATAAGATACAAGCAACAAAGTCATAGTCAAAAGAAGATAAGGAGATAGGTAATAGGAAAGATGGGAAGAATAATAGAATACAATAGTTTGTCAGTGTTGTGGGAATTAGTTGTTTAACAGAGTGATGGCATGAGGGGGAACTGTCCTTGTATTTAATTGTTCTGGCATGCAATGCCCTATAGCATCATTTTGAGGGTAGAAGTTGAAACAGTTTATGTCCAGGATGTGAGGGGTCTGTAGATATTTTCACAGCCCTCTTTCTGGCTCATGCAGTATACAGGTCCTCAATGGAAGGCAATGGAAGATTGGAAGCAATTGTTTTTTCTGCAGTTCTAATTATCTATTGAAATCTGTCTGTCTTGTTTGGTTGCAGTGCCAAACCACACAGTTATAAAGGTGTAAATGACAGACTCAATAATTCCTCTGTAGAACTGTATCAGCAGTTCCTTGGGCAATCTGAGCTTTCTGAGTTGGCACAGGAAGAACATTCTTTGTTGTGCTTTTTTGATGACATTTTTGATGTTAGGTGTCCATTTTAAGTCTTGAAATATTATAGAACCTAGAAACTTGAAGGTCTCTACTGTTGATACTGTGTTGTCTAGTATCGTAAGAGGTGATAGTATAGCAGGGTTTTTCCTAAAATCTACTATCATTTCTACAGTTTTGAGTGTGTTTAGTTCAAGATTTTTCCACTGCACAGCACAAGGCTAATTGTTCAACCTCCAGTCTGTATGTAGATTTGTCATTGTCTCGAAATGTGACCAATCACTGTTGTGTCATCTGCAAACTTTAGTACTTTAACAGAGGGATCTTTTGAGATGCAGTCATTGGTATATAGAGAGAAGAGAAGAGAAAGCACACATCCGGGGGGGGGGGCTGTGCTAATTGTATAGGTATCTGATGAGATTTCGCCTAGCTTCACTTGCTTCTTCCTATCTGTTAGAAAGTGTATGATCCACTTACAAGTGTGGTCAAGCATAGCTGGCTGTTTTAGTTTAGTTAGAAGAATATCTGGAATGATGGTATTGAATGCTGAGCTGAAGTCTACAAAAAGGACTCTTGCATAGGTTCTTGGAGATTCAAGATGTTGTAGGATGTAGTACAGAGCCATATTAACAACATCATCTGCCAATCTGTTTGCAAGAGGTCTAACAGTGAATCCATGATGGTTTTCAGGTGGACCAGCACTAACCTTTCAAAGGTTTTCATAACTATGGATGTCAGAGCAACCGCTCTGTAGTCATTCAGTTCTTTGATGGAGGGTTTCTTTGACACTGGGATGATAGTAGAGAAGACTTATTAAACAATCAACTTCTTCAAAAGAATAAAAGTCATAAGGAAATGAAAACAACACCACACTACTCTTCTTGGATATCAGCAGAGAAAACGAAATACAAAATACAATTCTATTAAAAAACCACCCACACCAACCAAATGCTCCACTACTATAACATGTGTAAGAACATTATTCAGATGAGCACAAATGTATTGCAGCAACCCGGAACACATGAAATAGGAAACAGACCACCTATCCAATAACTTCCAACAAAATGGATACTCACTCAATTTTATCAAAAAGTACCTGACCATTCAACCCTACAGCACAACCAACATAAGCTATGAAAAAGATAACACTACCATACATTAAAAACATCTCAGAAACAATCAACAGACTACTAGCTACATTACTGCATTACTGTAGCACACAAATCAACTAAATCCCTCCAAAACATCTTAATTAAACCATAAGATCCAGCAGCTCAAGAAGAGGAGTCATCTACAACAGTGGTCACCAACCGGTGGTCCACAGACCACTGGTGGTCCATGAGAAAATTTTGGTGGTCCGCAGAGAAATTTTCGTATTTTTGCAGGTGGTGCAATATGGAAAAAGGAGTCCAGCCCTCGCCATCTGGAATGAATAGTGCTGTTGTGGCTCCAAGTCCCAAGCGGCAGGAGATGAGGGCTGCCTTGCGCCGAAAATATACCAAGGTGGAATCCTGATGCTGCACTTACAGTGGAGAGAAGAAGCCGGATTTTGCTCTTCATTGCAGACTCAAGATCGGCCCCCTGCAAGCTCTCATCTCTCGAGGAGCCCGACCAAAGTTTCCAGCGCTGCTTCAGGGAGGGCTCCGCGAGAGATGAGAGCTTTCAGGGGGCCAATCTGGCATCTGCAATGGAGAGCAAAATCCGGCTGCTCACCAAACAAGTCACCATTTACCGCTATGAGTCCCAAGCGGCAGGAGATGAGAGCTGCCTTGCACCACCGGCTGGCACAAATATATCAAGGCGAATGCTCATGTCATGCAAGTTCAAGTAGTGCTTTGCTCCCACACTTCTTCCAGCCCTTGTTGGTGCTCCGCGCATGTCTGTCTCTCAGGAAGATGCTTGACTTCCTCTCAGCCCCAAGACACTGGCTGGCCCATGAGATGAGAAAGAGAGACAATGAGAGAGAGAGAGAGAGAGAGAGAGAGAGAGAGAGAGAGAGAGAGAGAGAGAGAGAGAGAGAGAGAGAAAGAGAATCAGAATGAGACAGAGAGAGAAAGAGACAAAGAATGAAAGAGAGAAAGAGAGAATTAGAATGAGACAGAGAAAGAGACAAAGAATGAAAGAGAGAAAGACAAAATGAAAGAGAGAGAATGAGAGGGAGAATGAGACAGAGAATGAAAGAGAGAATCAGAGAATCAGAGAGAGAATGAGAGAGAGAGAGACAAAATGAAAGAGAATCAGAGAAAGAGAGAATCAGAATGAGAGAATCAGAATGAGAGAGAGTGTGTGTGCGGGAGAGAAAGAGAGAAAGAGGGGAGAGAGAAAGAGGGGGAGAGAGAAAGAGAGAAAGAGTGGGTGGGAGAGAGAGAAAGGGGAGAGAGAGAAAGAGAATGAGGGGGAGGGGGGGAGAGAAAGCTTACAATCATAAAAGGTAAAAACTGTATAAGCTAAAAGACTATGTAGGAATAGACAGGAAGAAGACTAGCAGAGCATATCCATAAACAGTGACATCAACTAGCAATTAGAACACATAACAAAAGTTCTTAATCTCACAACATATGAACAGATTCAACCACAGCCCATCAACACTGCCAGGCATCTCACACTTACAATACTGATGATGTTATCTAGTTGGGTAATGAACCATCTGCAAGCAAGCAACTAAGATCAGAGAGCACCAAGGACTCCACAGTTCAACTGAGCTACATATATTTTCTTCTATTAGATAGAATGTTGTCTCTCTTGCAATTTTACTTAGGTTTTTTTTATATATTACTGGAAAACTCCTGGAAATTAACTACAGAAGTAAGTTAGAAAAATAATGCAAAAAAGTTACTGATTTTTGTTTTTCTTTCTTTTTAGGTATTACAACTGTGCTTACTATGACAACTATCAACACTCATCTCAGAGAGACTTTGCCTAAGATTCCATATGTCAAAGCCATTGATATGTATCTTATGGGCTGCTTTGTATTTGTCTTCTTGGCCTTACTTGAATATGCCTTTGTCAACTATATCTTCTTTGGAAAGGGCCCTCAAAGGCAGAAGAAACTTGCAGAAAAGACAGCCAAAGCAAACAATGATCGTTCTAAGTTTGAAAGCAACCGGGTAGGATTTTTCATATCTTCTACAAGTCTGTCTTATTTTCAGCTTCAAGGGATAGTTCCAATCAATGAAATTAAGTACTATTACCTTGCTAATTGGATTGCATATTAGATTATACAGAAAGCATAGTCATTAGCACCACTTTATATTTATTACAGTTTATCAATATAAAATATATAGCATATACCAGAATGCAGTAAGGACAACATTTCCTAAAAACAGTGTACAAATTTGACAAACTCATAAAATCACAATAGTGAAAAATAGGCACAGGAATTTGTCTTTTCATCATTGGTGTTAGTATAGTTTTCCTTCCTTCCTTCCTTCCTTCCTTCCTTCCTTCCTTCCTTCCTTCCTTCCTTCCTTCCTTCCTTCCTTCCGCAATTCTGGGTTGATCACAGTGGGCCTGGTAGCTCAGCAGACTAAAAGCATTGTGATTAACACCAGCTGTCTGCAATTACTGTAAGTTCGAATCTCACCAGGCTCAAGGTTGACTCAGCCTTCCATCCTTTCTAAGGTAGGTAAATTGAGGACCCAGTTTGTCGGGGCAATAAGCTGACTTTGTATAAATATACAAAAGGATGAAGGCTATTGCTTAACGCATTGTAAGCCGCCCTGAGTCTCTGGAAAAGGGCGGCATATAAATCAAAAAAAAAAGAAAGAAAGAAAGAAAGAAAGAAAGAAAGAAAGAAAGAAAGAAAGAAAGAAAGAAAGAAAGAAAGAAAAAGAAAAAGAAAAAGAAAAAGAAAAAGAAAAAAAGAAAAAGAAAAGAAATAATATGTGATCAAGATAGCAAATCTTAAGGATTTTTCCCTTAAGGTCTATATTTTCTGAAGTAATTGAAACTTATTTTATCAAAAAGAAGAAAAATATGTCAGAAAGACTAGTCCTACTTGTCTTACATTACTTAGCACAGCAGAATAATAAACAGTAGAATTTGTTGATATTTTGTTTTTGCAATTGCATTTATAAGTACTACTATAATTACATTAACAGGAAAGGACAGCTCTAAAAGTAGGAATATTTAATATGCATTTTAATAGTTGAAATTAATGCAAACTAAACCTTACATATATTATTAAAAAATAATATTTCTCCAATTAAAACATATATTTGAATATAGTACTAAAATTATACTTATTGCATAATTTGCATTTTAAGAAAAAATATTTACAATGTATATATTAAGAAAAATATATACAGAAATGATTATATTAGGAGATCGGCAACATGACTTAAAAGATGCAATTTAATGTAGACAAAAATGAGCTCGTTTTTTAAAAGTGAGGACATATATGAAATTAAAAGTTTTACATAATAATAATTTTAATTGATTCAATAATGTTAGCTAATACATTCAGTATTAATTCATACAGTAATACATTCATTTATGTACTAAATTGGTAAAAAAAGATGTAAAGAATTTGAGTATAAGAAAATGGGAAATTGGAGACACTTCCATCCAAAACATATGCAGTAAAAAAACATATACCGTATTTTTCGGAGTAGAAGACACACTGGAGTAGAAGACGCAGCTTAGTTTTTGGGGAGGAAAATAGAGGGGGGGGAATCTGCCTACCAAGTATTCATCTGGCTAGCGTCCTTAGTCTGGTGAGCTTCAGCACATTAGTTTGCTGGTTTTCATCCCCTGCTTGGGGATAAAAAACAGCTTCTAAGGCACAACTGAGAGGAAGCAGCAATGAGAAAAGCAGGCAAAGCATGGAAGGAGATCAAAAAAGCTTCTAAAGAACAGCTGAGAGTCGGAGCAAAGCATGGAGATCGCTTCACTCGCTAGCGCCTCGTTAAAGCACAGCAGAGAGTCGAGGGAGCAGGCAAAGCTGGGAAGATCTTGCTAGTGCCTTGTTAGCACCTCGTTAGGGGCTGAAAAAAAAGCTTCGAAAAAGCTACATTCAGAGTATAAGATGCACCCAAATTTTCAGCCTCTTTTAGGTGGAAAAAGGTGCATCTTATACTCTGAAAAATACAGTATTTGGTGTACGAATGAGCTTTACAATTTCCAGAGCTACAAATTTTCTAATTTAAAATTGGAAATGCACTTATGCATATGCACACATACAATCACTTATTTGCACACCATATACAGTGTACTACTAAAATTCTCATGTCTGTTTGTAATCTTCAATTAGGCAAAATTGGAAGCTATAGGGCAACGATTATTGAATCAAATGGGCTAATTTACAGAATGCGGGAATGACATTTGGTAAAGTTGTAGCCACTTAAGTATCATCAAGCCTTCTGACTACACTTCCCAGAAATCCATAGTTTGTGTGGTACAAGGGAAGATCAGAGGGCCCTTCCCCCATCCTCTTTCCTGCCTCTCTCTCTGGCCCCTACACCACAAGGGCCCAACAGATAAGTGAAGATTAGTTGCTTTGGAACCAAGGCTGAAATTTGAAATCTCTTAATCGCACTGGGTGGTGAGGGAAGGACAAGGGCGGGACTGGGATGCCTGTTGGTGAAATAGGTTTGGCTGGAAGCAAGGATGGTTGGCAGATGAGCCTTCTTTAACCCTGGAGAGAGGGGGCCCTTTGGAACATGCCAGGATAAGGAGTGGGGGAGAGGTTATTCTCACAATCCCTAGAATTGTTTGTCTCCCCCCCCGTCTCTTACACACAGTAAAGTGGAATCAAGAGATCTTGTATTTATATAAACCTTGCTCTCTCTTTCCTAGTGTCTCATTATAGACAGCTTGTTTCATGGTACTTGATTTCAGTGAAGAAGATGATACTCTATCTTACTTTTTAACATAAGAAACATATTCCAATGTAAGGCGTTAAAGACACATCTAATTTCAGACTTCGTCTCTAATTTGAATGAATTTGGAACTAGATTCATAATTTGAAACTAGATTGTTAGATCTCTAATATCTTCATATCTTCATAATTTTATGTAATTTTTGAGCCCCCGGGTTCTTTAATTAAGAGCTCTGAAATATAAATCAATTCAAATTACTGTTGTGGGATGTATTTGTCAACCAAGATAAATCACTAGTTCAAGACTGGCAAATAATATGACTGACCTCAGGGAGTCAGCCCATGATAAGGCTTCGGTCCATCGTGGTGTGTGTGTGTGTGTGTGTATTAATAGCTATTAGTCTTGAAAGCTCTATGCTATTTCCAGGACCTGCTAAGAAGCAAATGAGAAGGACTTCTCTTGTAGCTACTTGGTCATTGTGGAAGATTGATCATTGGACTTATATCCAACAGGATTCATTTTATATTTTACTGTTAACATTTTTTCCCTTTCTATTGTCTCCTGATTGTTTTGGGTCTACATGTGTTTCAAGGAAAGTAGCCACATTTGTAAAAGGGAAAGAAATACTACATGAAACAGATGGTGCAAGACAGGAGTGAAATGCTCCTGGTTCGGACCGGATCGCCCAATCCGGTAGTAAAGGCAGCAGGTGGTTCGGAGAACCAGTAGAAAACATCCCTGCCTACCACCCCATGCCCAGTTGAGCTACACAATCATCAGAAGCTTTTTAAAAAAATTTTAAAAGCATTTTTTCTACAACCTTTTCGGCCGAAAAAATGCTTTTAAAAGTTTTTTTAAAAGCCTCTGATGATCCCACGGCTCAGCTGGGATCATCAGAGGCTTTTAAAAGCATTTTTTTTACAACTTCTTCAGCCGAAGAGGTTGCAGAAAAAATTGTTTTAAAAGTTAAAAAAAAAAGTTGGCCACGTCCACCCAGTCACATTACCCCCCCCTCCACCAAGCCACGCCCACAGAACAGGTAGTAACAAATTTTACATTTCACCACTGCTGCAAGATGTATGAAAATTAAAACTGGGAAAGTGTTTCAATACTTCTTTGTTCATTAGTTGTGGAGAGATGTCTTGGCTTACCCTAACAAAAATTGGTTTCCTTTGGTTAATTAATATAGGAGGCTGTTTACATTTTAAATTGGAGGCTTTTTTTTCCTTTTTCCTTTTTCCTACTTTGCATTTTTAATGTGATTTCTTTTTCATTTGTATAGGTCATTAATATAGGTATTAATATTTCTCAGGATTCAGATAGCCTATGCATTCATCTAAAGAAATTAGAGATGGCAATCCACGAACACCTAGAAGCAAACAAAATAATAACCAAAAGCCAACATGGGTTTGTCAAAAACAGATCATACCAGACTAATCTTATTGCATTCTTTGACAAAGTGACAAAATTAGTGGACCAGAGGAATACTGTTGATATAATTTACTTGAACTTCAGTAAGGCATTTGATAAAGTAGACCATAATCTACCAGTAGAAAAATGTGGGATAGACAGCATCACCACCAGATGCATTTGTAACTGGCTTACTAACCGCACTCAACGTGTAGTCCTCAATGGAATTGCAGCTACATGGAGGGAAGTATGAAGTGGAGTACCCCAAGCCTCTGTTTTAGGCCCAGTACTCAACATCTTCATCAATGACTTGGACAAGGGGATAAATGGGAAACCATCTAGGCATTTTCTATTACTGTAAATAGAATTTTTACTATTGATTGCAATGGAAGCAATGGATGGAAACTTATCAAGGAGAGTAGCAACCTAGCAGCCTAGTACTAAGAAGAAATTTCCTGACAGTGAGAACAATTAATAAGTGAAACGGCTTGCCTTCAGAAGTTATGGGCGGCTCCATCACTGGAGGCTTTTAGGAAGAGACTGGACAGCCATTTTTCTGAAATGGTACAGGGTCTCCTGCTTGAGCAGGAGTTTGAACTAGAAGACCTCAAAGGTTCCTTCCAATTCTATTATTCTGTTCTGGCCTGTTCATTTTACAGTGTACTGTTGTTTAATGTATTTGGGGATCATTGTATAGGTTGAGTTCATGAATAAATTGCACCAAATGTTAAACAGATTGTATGATGCAATGAAGAGTATAAGATTAAAATTAAAATTTGGGATTGGCTTTCTAGAAATGAAAGGTTTTAAAAAACTGGCACGTATCTGGAAATATCATCAATAAATAAATACATGGTGTTTCTTTGCAATGTTTATCT